GCCTGAGGCTTTTGAAGATGCCTCCCCCTCTTTTTTTGCTTCCCCAGCCAGGCATTTAAATCCCCCCTCCCGAGTCTCTCCACAAAAGCAGAGAGGCTCAGGGGGAAAGGAGGGCATGTCTCCCCGCCTCCCCTTTCTTCTCCAGCCAACCCACCACCGCGGGGAGGTGTGGAGACATGCCTGGCTTCCGTGCACAATCTTCTCCAGAAGCCAGGCATTTAATTCCCGGGGGGGGGGGGGCTCATTTCAGCTGGACTGGCACTCCGGTAGGAAACGACCTCTGCTTCTATCATGTGTTTAACTAATGCTTTCCCATTGTGCCTGAAAAAAGAATTCCCATTGTTCTTTGGTACTTTGCACATATGAATAATAGCCTTGAGTGCTTACCTCCATTTCCCAGTTTACTGTGTCCCTGTTTAAACTTGTAGTGTAATGCCTATTCTGCATCCCAGCCTTAGTAACTTCAGAGATACTGTTGCGTTTTCTTCTCTCTTAAGGAGAATGATTTAGCTAGCTTGACACATTCACTACAGTGACTTGTATTCCAACCCACAAGTGATTCTTGTAGTTCTACATATCTCCACAATTACCTTTCGTCACATTTTTCTCTGTACATCAAGACTCCTCAAGCGAATGCCCACATGGACAGCAAATGATAAAGTCATGCAGAGCTGAAAGGAATGCATGCTATGATTTGACTGGCAGTCTGTTCACATTTCCTTTTCTTTACCTTACCACAGAGGAAGAGGAAAAGGGTGGCAGGCTGCCAGGCTTGGCTTTGTGACAATGCCAGGTTAAGGTTGCTCACACCATGACTCACCCTTCTAGGTGGGGAAATCTGAAGAATTTCTCAATCCCTGTTCATTTCCAACAAAGAAATATTATTTAGGCCCCAAGTAATACCTGCCTCGCATGCAGTTGCATTAACTGACAGCAGTGCTACAGCTCCCAACCCCATCCCTACAATACTTGTCTCTCAGCAGTAAGCATCTCCACACCTGCCAATAACTCTTTCCTTCTATCCCAGCCTTTTAGCAGCTTGCTTCCCAACACAGGAATCCTTAAACACCTCCTCAGCTGCAACACACAGGAAACAAGAATGCTGAAATCTAACCTAACTATATTTAGAAAACTGAACTCCCAACAGCATCACCAGTTAAGAGTGCCAATACGCTTACTGAACTGGCGCACATTAAAAGGGAAGTCATCTTCACACACAATACCAAGTTCCAACAAATACCTGGAGTGAGGAAGGTATGATGCTCATAATATTCGAACTTGCAGAGTCCTGATTCATTATTCACTTCCATTAAAAATGTGACAGTAAGAGAAAGAAAGAAATCAAACCAACGAACAAAATATTTGGGTGAGCCTTTTTCCCCAGTGCCTTTTAAATGTGAAACACTAAAAAGCAAACTCTTAAAAAGTATTTCATTCATTCTAAAGGAGAAAATATCTTATAAGGCAGAATTTTAACATATTTTAGCTGCCTCCCTCAAAATGCTATTTAGCAACTACATATGTCTACAGGACAAGGACATTACAATTCATATATGCTATGAATGTGTACAACTCTCATATCCTATAGTAAATTTCAAATTCATCTATCTTCTGCAGTTTGCAAAAAATTGGTATCTGGTTAAAAACCCACTTGAAATCAAGAAACCAGCTAATGGGTTACATCAAAAGGTTAGTGGAAGGTGCTGGTGTACGTAAAGGTTCCCCACATTTCCCTTCTCCCAGCAGTCCCTTTCGATGCCCAGAAAAATTATGTCAGGAGCTATAGGACCTGCACAGACAAAAAAGCATGCAGGGCAGAAAAGGGGGGACGGGGGGGGGGGGGGGGGGCTACATTAATAGCAATGTAAATACTCTGATAAGAAAATAAGTTTTGTATATATTTCAGTTCCCCAAATGTTCATTTTTGTACTTCATAGCTTCATTTCTAATTTCAATAGCACTTCTGACTTTATAAAGTTGCAGCAGGAAATTGCTTAAATTGGTATTGCTGCTCCATACCACCCTTCTTAGTAGGCAAAAGTTACAGCAGCCTAGATATAAACAGCAGCATTGAGAAGCACCATACTTTGGTCCCCACTGCAGCTAGACAGCAGAATCTGCAGCTGCTAGAGGCCAAAAGATGCCAATCCCCACTTGAATAGAATCTTGACAGCAGACTTCTCAGAATGTGTGCGGTCATAAGCAGCACTTATCTGTGTGGTCCCATGCCTGGCTGTTTCTCATGGTGTGGTTCAGCACCAGTGCGTAAAGACATGAATGTTTCCTTAAGAAAAAAGGCTTCCTCAGCAGCTCTCCCGACACCCCACCCCTTCAAGCCTCTTCCCAGCAGCTCTGCAGGAAGGAGGCAGGGAAGATAGCAGCATTCCCATAATCATTAATGGCCAGCAGGCTCAGACAAACAAAAGCACAGATCCCAGGAGAAGTGCAGCCTATTAGGATGTGACCTTTGGGACATGCCCAAGGGAACAGCAGCCTGCTCAGTTTGCTCTAATCCAATTTGTACTGCTCATAACAGAAAGCTAACTATGGAAGCAAACAGGCACTCCAGGGAAGAATTTGTTTACTGTTACCCTGGAAGTTCCAGCAGGGGGTAGAGATTAATCATGCTACCTTGCAAGGCTTCACTTTCTGCATAAAAAGTTAAGAGCCACAGAGGGCTGAGAGAAAGGAACAGCAGCCGCACATAGGGAGCTTAAGGCAGGGACACCTACAATTCCAGTCTTATTGCAGCTTAGTCTCAGTGGCCGCCCATGACAGGAAAACAGAAATTTGGTTCGATTTCATCCCATAAGAATCAGTTATTTGAGTGAACATAAGAACATAAGAGACGCCAATGTTGGATCAGGCCAAAGGCCCATCCAGTCCAACACTCTGTGTCACACAGTGGCCAGAAATACCAGTGCCATCAGGAGGTCCAGCAGTGGGGCCAGGACATTAGAAGCCCTCCCACTGTTGACCCCCCCCCAAGCACCAAGAAGACAGAGCATCACTTGCCCCAGAGCCCCTAGCTATACCTTGTGGCTAATAGCCACTGATGGACCTCTGCTCCATATGCTTATCTAATTCCCTTTTGAAGCCGTCCATGCTTGTAGCACCCACCACTTCCTGTGGCAGTGAATTCCATGTGTTAATCACTCTTTGGGTGAAGAAGTACTTCCTTTTATCCGTTCTAACCCGACCGCTCTGCAGTTTCATGGAGTGCCCACGAGTTCTTGTATTGTGAGAAAGGGAGAAAAGTACCTCTTTCTTTACCTGCTCTTTCCCATGCATAATCTTATAAACCTCGATCATGTCACCCCTCAGTCGTCTTTTCTCCAAGCTAAAGAGCCCTAAGCGCTTTAACCTTTCCTCATAGGGAAAGTGTTCCAACCCTTTTATCATTCGAGTTGCCCTTTTCTGCACTTTTTCCAAAGCTATAATATCCTTTTTAAGGTGTGGTGCCCAGAACTGCACACAGTATTCCAAATGAGGTCTCACCATTGATTTATATAGGGGCATTATTATATTGGCTGATCTGTTTTCAATACCCTTCCTAATAATCCCCAGCATAGCATTGGCCTTCTTTATTGCAGTCACACACTGTCTCGACATTTTCAGTGAGTTATCCACTACAACTCCAAGATCTCTCTCTTGCTCAGTCTCTGCCAGTTCAGACCCCATCAATGTGTATTTATATTTAGGATTTTTGGCTCCAATGTGCATCACCTTGCACTTGGCCACATTGAACCCCATTTGCCATGTTGACGCCCACTCGCCCATCCTTGACAGATCCCCTTGGAGTGCCTCACAATCCTCACTGGTTTTCACCACCCTGAACAACTTTGTATCATCCGCAAATTTAGCCACTTCACTGCTTACTCCCATCTCCAAATCATTAATGAACAAGTTAAAAAGCAGTGGACCAAGTACTGATCCCTGCGGTACCCCACTGCTTACCACCCTCCACTGAGAAAATTGCCCACCTACACTCACTCTGTTTTCTATGAACTAGCCAGTTTTTGAGTGAGTTCCCATTAGATCAAAAGAAGGGCTGGAAAAAGAGTTTCTGTCACCTTAGTTGCCAGGGAATCTAGAAATCTGATACTGGCGTCTCCAGATTTGAAGGATGTGTCAGCCTTTTAGTAAGGGCTACAAAACCAACCACAGTGAATACTCATCCAAATATCTACACAGAGATCCCACAATTTCTACATCAATTGAGGTAATGCCAGACACTTATGACTCACTTCTCTACAAACCCACCCACATCCCCAACATTCATATCCCTTCTATGAAATGCCTCCTCCTGTCCCCCATTAAAAGGCCAGGGAAGGAAGTGAACAGACTGAAGCATTCAGTCAGGATGTAACAATGAAAGGAGAGACCTTCCCCCTAGAATATCTCTCCCCCCCCCCCCCCCCCCCCGGCATTTCCTATACCAAGAGGCTGCTTTAAATGGAGGCTTTTGTTGCCTCCCATGTACTCAGTTCTCCACCTTCACCTCCAAGCAGCTTCAGAAAAGGTAAGAAAGGAGTTGGCAACGGGAAGGGGGCTGGCAACCCCTAAATGATATTTCAGTTGCCTACAGTTACCCTTTCATACATGGAGGCGAGGTGGAAAATTTCTAGTTTTTCCACCTGCCTACATAATTGCAGCAGGAAATAAAAATGGCATCAACCAAATGACAAAGCCAACAATGAAATGTTACCACAACATGCATATATCATACTGTAAGCATTGCCTGTTCCCACTAACAATCTTGATAGCATCCAAAATCCACAACTAAATCAATCGGATGAAAGGATGCTGCATCTGAGTTAGGGCCTTGGTATGAAAATTTAGAGGTTCCCAGAGCCCCTCACCTGAACAGATACAGAATACTGAAAGAGAATTAGATGCATCAATCACATCTTTAGATTTGGCCACATCAATTGTTAAGCTATCTAAGGCTCTTTGGATAACCTGCTTGCATTCCATCCTTTGCCCTGACAACGTCTCACCTTTTGCATGGAATGTCCACCCACTCCTGGAGTATTCCTGCAGTCGAATTCTCTCTTGCTGACCCAGACAGCATACTTCACTGAAAAACTGTCGTTCAATGTGAACATAAGCTGCAGGGATGGCACCTGCCATCCCCTTAGCCCCAAAGAACCCATTCACCTCTGGTGAGGCTAGGAGAATCTGATATTTTGCCCTTGTGCCCAGAATGAGGTCCATATAGGCTTGTGTGAGGTTGAAGTAGCCTGTGGTGAGATACACACTGGCACCTAGTTCTGCTTCCATCAGAAGAGTTTCTGTGACAATCTCATCTATCTGAATCCCAAAAGTTTTCATCTGTATTAGTGGATAAATCCACGTGTCTGGTTCAGGCTGCCTGTCTCCAACTGCCTTCTGATCTCTGGACAGTGGGACTTCTTCTGTCTGGTTGTGGTGGAAAGTCTGAGTGTGAAGCAACTCTTGTCGTATTCTTGCAGAATCGATCACTTCCATAACTCTTTTATTTGCTGCTTCACAATAGGCTGTCTTGTCTCCTGAAGGCATAAATGAAGCACAATGTTATACATCATTATCTTTACATAACTGCAAGAAAACTATAAAGGGATCAAAGGAAGAAATACCAGTGTAAATCCCATAAACCAGGAGTCCTGAGCTGATCTAGTTTTCATGATAGGGGAAGGAAAATGTATATCCCAAGTGAAGTCTGTACCCAGTACTACTGACAGTTCTGAACAGGGTCTGACATTTCATCCAAACAATGGGTAACTCACAGGAAGGACTAGGTAAAAAACAGCTGATTTTTAAACATTTTTTCTAAAATTCTAATGGAAATAAACATCTCTTGTATTTAACAAAAATCTGAATTGAACATAAAGCATATTAAAGCCACACATTTCTTAAAATGAATCACTAGCTATCAAACATTGTTGAAGGGTAACATCAGATTTCTGAAATTAAGCATAATAAATGACCCAAAATTATATATTTTATTTATCATGGATTTCTTCTTCGACTGGAGGACTATCAATGAACCATCAGAGCTGCCAAGCCCTTTACCAATTGTGATCAGCATTCAAACTGCCTGTTTATCAAGTGAACCTCTCTTCTGAGCTACCTGTGCAGTGACAGAACTCAGCATGGAAGACAGATAACTGCTGATCACACATACTTGATCACTATGCCCCCAAGTTATCATATGATGTCTTTCAAAAGCAGCTCAGTTGTTGTACATGCTGCCTTACCACCTGTGCTGTTGGCAGTGGCGTACCTAGCCTACTTGACGCTAGGGGCAGATAATATTTTAACACCCCCCTCATAAGAACACAAGAGACGCCAATGTTGGATCAGGCCAAAGGCCCATCCAGTCCAACACTCTGTATCACACAGTGGCCAGAAATACCAGTGCCATCAGGAGGTCCACCAGTGGGGCCAGGACATTAGAAGTCCTCCCACTGTTGACCCCCCCCCAAGCACCAAGAAGACAGAGCATCACTTGCCCCAGAGCCCCTATCTATACCTTGTGGCTAATAGCCACTGATGAACCTCTGCTCCATATGCTTATCTAATTCCCTTTTTAAGCCGTCCATACTTGTAGCCACCACCACTTCCTGTGGCAGTGAATTCCATGTATTAATCACTCTTTGGGTGAAAAAGTACTTCCTTTTATCCGTTCTAACCCGACTGCTCAGCAATTTCATGGAGTGCCCACGAGTTCTTGTATTGTGAGAAAGGGAGAAAAGTACCTCTTTCTTTATCTGCTCTATCCCATGCATAATCTTATAAACCTCAATCATGTCACCCCTCAGTCGTCGTTTCTCCAAGCTAAAGAGCCCTAAGCGCTTTAACCTTTCTTCATAGGGAAAGTGTTCCAACCCTTTTATCATTCAAATTGCCATTTTCTGCAACTTTTCCAAAGCTATAATATCCTTTTTAAGGTGTGGTGACCAGAACTGCACACAGTATTCCAAATGAGGTTGTACCATCGATCTATATAGGGGCATTATGATATTGGCTGATCTGTTTTCAATCCCCAGCATAGCATTGGCCCTCTTTATTGCAGTCTCACACTGTCTCGACAT